TTTCCATATAAAAATTACCATTTGGAACCTGTTAGTTTTGATGGTTTTATTAATTATTATAGGCTTAACGCTTCTGAAAGTCGTGATAATAAAATTATCGTTTATGTGTTTTTGTTCTTTTTTTTGCATAAAAAGTAAGACAGGTGCATTGTGTCTGATCACAGTTTCTCTACTCACCAAGCCTCCATGACCTTCAAAACATAAAATGTCATTTTGTCAATGGGCAACTAGCCGTGGGTTCGTTTTTTATTCAGAGCCAGTTGAGGAGTGATTTGGTCTCTGAAAAATTCAAGCACTTGAAAGCGAGACTTCTTGGAAACTTCACATTTCTTAATCTACAGATTAACATTAAATATTGGGAATTTTGGATCAAATGCATCTATTAATGATGCATGACACAAAAAGGTGAATAACATGGAGATGTCAAGTGTGAAAAAAGTGGGAAGACATCTCTGAATAAATTCCGTCTCTATGCTTTTCCTTTGTTCTGAGAAACCAGAAGAGTCGTCGGTTTACGGACATAAATGCAATGTTTGTTTTTACAAACCGATGTACATGAGAGTTTTAATCCTTTTAAGGTCTTTTAACCCTCCTAAAGTAGCTAAGTTAAAAATTGATCACGTAGGCATCGTCGTCTGATACAAGCACTTTGATCGTCGCTTGATAATACAAGCACTTTGATCGTCGCTAAATAATACAAGCGCTTTTCCTTCGCACGGTTCAACCATACCTGCAATTTCCAGACATAAATTCGTTGCTATAAGTTGCTATATAGACCTAAGACCGCACATTAAATGACTATTCCTCGTTCTTTCATCCACCGCTAAACCAACCGAGCCACCACATATTTAGACCTAAGACTTAACATGCACATCCATTATTCCTCGTTCTTTCATCCTCTGCCGAGTCAAACGAGCTACTAGTAAAACCACCAAAGACTTGACACGTATGTTCATTATTCCTCGTTCTTTCATCCACTGCCGAGCCAAACGAGCCTCTAGATACACTCGTTATTGCGGACAACCTCGGGGGAGATTTTGTGTCCGTAATAGCGAGAGTCCGTAATAGCGAGGTACTAGAGAAAATAAGTTATTTGGTCTCTAAACCTATGAAATAATATGCAACTACGCAAGCATAAAGTTCCTAACGTGGCCTCACGAACCGGATAAAGATTCGGCCGCAAGCAGGAAATTCTCATGTTCGCAGCCAATTGAAGAATGGTTTCTGTATTTTCTTTTATCGTAATGTCGCTTTGCATTATGTAAGTCAGGATTTTGGACGCAATACTTAAGTGTCCGCTGTAGAGAGAGAAGAGACAAGTGAAGTGTTTCGCTGGGTGGTGTGAAAGTGTCCGCATTTCAGTAATGGCCTGAGTCCGTTGTAAAAACGGGAGTTTAATTCAGTCATTTCTTGATGTGTTTCACCGGGGCTCTTGTCGCAATGGTGAGGTGTCCGCAGGGCGAGATTCGACTGCAAATTTCCCATCAAGATTGGCCCTGTATTGTGTAGATGCTCCTATTATTTTATTTAAGCGGCGCCGGTAAATGATTTGGTTTGATGTTAGTGTAGAGTGACAGCCTTGAACCAGCAAGTTCGTCATCGAACTAAACGTTCTACTTCTCAAACCAACGAGTACACCAGTCAAACCAGTTCGTTTTGTCAACTGATCGAAAGAAGACTTCATTCAGCTAACTTGTTATTGTCAAAAAATTAACTTTGCTTAAAAACAAAATTATTATCGAGTGTAATAACAAATCGAGTCAGAGTGGACGTGATTGTCTGTGTTTGGTCAAAGCTAGTACAAAGTCTGGAGTTCAATTCGCTAGGACCCGTCTCTTTCACCAATTACTGTCATCTCGTTAGCGCAGAGAGGCGGACTTTGTACAGTTGTAAATTTCACTTGAGCTTAAAATGTCTTCTCACGCGTTGTCTTGTTTCCTATCAGATCCATCACATATAGATTACACATGCCCGTGAAGAGTTTGAGACTTAATTAATCACAAAATCAAAATGCTATCGCAGATGAGTTATAAGTCGGGACTAAATTACGAATGATCTTTGCCACGATCTTTTCCTTTTTTTTTACTGAAATAGCTTTCGTTCTCGCCAAGTCTTCTCTTTTGCCCCTGAACAAAAAGCAAAGAAACTTTCCGTACGTTTTTGTCTTCCATAAAGCTGAAGATAAATAATTGGGTGGTCCTAGTTGTTCAGCGTCAAATTATCTCGCAGGAGCTGGTTTTGAAGATTCAAAAAAGCATTTCCTATACTTATTCAATAGCGCCACGCAAAAAACTTATATTCTGGCTGCCTCTTTTGATATGAATGCGACATGATCTTGACAAAAACTGAAAAAAAGGCTGTATTCCTAAACTTGAATCATTAGGAATTGAATTAGTTCAGGAAATGTAAAACTGCAAAGCGCCGCGTCAAATAAAGTGCTATTCCTATCCCCTGTCGATGCACCATCCATCAAACATTAATTGAACTATTTTATTAACAGTCAGGCTGATAGAGACTCTTGGGGAAATGTAGAAACTGCGCCTTTAAACATAAAGGCCAAAGTTGACTACAGATTCTTGAAGTCAAATTAAAGAAACAACGACTGGAAACTATATCAATTAATTCATGAGAGCGAGCTTTTCGTTTGTGCCCTATTAAACAAGTATTTACTCTGGCACAATCTTGAGTGGCGTTCAAATACCGCGTTAAATCGAAAGACAAAATCGGCAAATTAATGTCGGATTTCCATTACAAAAAATAAATATGACGCAAATAAAACTCTACATGAATTAATAGTTTTGGTTCTGGCGCGGACTTTATTCCTGTGGTTGCTTCGCTTTAAGAATACATTCTTCTGAAAATAAAGTTTATTCATCGTCCGCTAGCATGACAGCGCGCATTGCAGAACCGTCCTATTATTTCATGGTCATGGATCTGTCAAAAATATTAAACTTAGTTGCGTGTCATTTGCCTAGTGCATTATTTTTTGTCGAACTAACAGAGCCCACTGAAGGTCTGTCATTGATTCACAGCTGCTCATGATCAAGAACAAACCGTCAATTCATAAGGAAGTAAAATGACATACATAGAACATAATTTCGCAATTTCCCCAGATTTCCTTCACTTTCCTAGATTTTCCTACATTAAAATTGTTCATTTCACCGAAGGCAACTTTCTCTTTGTTTCGTCACACTATTCGTGAGACCACTTGGCTAATTACTCACTAAAATGAATTTTAAAATACGGAGCATCTGCCTTAAGACTCGCGAGAAAGTACAAAATCTCCTTTTTGTGTTAATCTTGAATTTCTGCACGTAAAGAGGATTTCTTTCTTGTTTGTTTGTTTTTTCATACTCAAGTTTATGAATTAAAATCAACGAGGAGATCTAAAGCAAAAATGGGATTATTTATAGGAACGGATTGTAAATGACATGTGACATGTCCTAATTTGATGGTAAATCAACAATTATCCCTATTCAATAAATTATGAGTAACATCCATAAAAAAATACTCTGCCTCTATGTAACCCAACTCACATCTATCATATAGGGCTTGCTTCGAAGACAAATAGCTTCTAGACGGTTTTCATAAGTTTGACCTCTTGACTGAGCTCTCAGTAGTTTTTTTTTTTGTGACTTTCAAAGCGGAAGACAAAGCCCGTGTTGTACGTGTCTTGGAAATTGATATGAGGCATGTTGGATTTGAGATCAATTTGAGGACTCCCACACGCAAACATTTATGTCCGATATTCCTGTCCAGCTGTCAAGAAGAGATGCGACCGAGATTAATATTCATAGGAAATCATTTTAAAATGGTTGAAAAAGGAAGGGATCAGGAATGAGCTCTTTAGTTCATCAGGGTTCATTAGTCTCGGGCCACTGAATTCTAAAACCGTTGGAAAGGGGTAGCAACCTTATCGATTTCCAAAGGTATACCGTGTTTCTTATGTTAGATCAACCTGAAAAAACGCTTGGATCAGTGCGGTTGAAATGTTAATTTTTCCTTTTTTTCAATCTTCCTTTAGTACTAAGAGGCCACAAGTCTGTTTGCTTACAGCGGACTTTAGTGCATTCTATCGCAGGTACGTTGAATTGCCATGAGACGTTCAACGCTTCTTAACTCATAATAACTTGGAGGGAAACAAGTTGACTTTGTAAGGCGAATATATAGGCAGATTGATTTCCTGTTTTCAAACTAATACTTATAACGTTACAGTCCATCAAAAATAGTTATATACCTGCGCCAGCGGTGTCTTCAATGAGATATCATACATTATCTTTGGTGTTATTTTTTATTCTACCGGATATTGAACCGAGAATAAAAGGTTAGTTATAACGAATATTATGTTATTTTTATCGTTTGTTTCTGATAATTTTCATTATTGGTATTATACGAACAAATGTAGGAACCGTACAGAAAATTTGAAAATACTAATAAGAAAAAACTCTTTCTGAAAGTTATCTTTATCCATCGGGACGGAAAACGACAATTGAGAAGATGACAAATAAGAAGCACTTTCGTCATAAAGGCAAACCAACAACGAAGACCAGTATTTATATATTTTAGGATGGGAATACTTAATACTTCTACGCAGAAATGCTTAACCAAGTGATACTAAGATTTTTTCACTAGGGTTATTTACGGAGAAAATTAAAATGTCCTGCTGCATTCCTTTTCCTGTTTCCAGTATTTCTGTTCCTGTTCACAGCTTCAGTGACGTCCTGAAATATCATCGACTCAACCAAAGTGAACTAAATTTCAAATAAAATAAAAAAAATGTAAAAAAATTATTTTGTTTCCTTTGAATTCACAATCGATTCCTCACATCACACCCCAGGTTGGTATCAAATAAGATCTTAGGAGGCCATGGGTGTTCCCTTTACTGATTATTTATTCAGTAATAACAGTTTTATCCTATTCAACTTTAGCAACAGAAAAAACAGGGACTAAAGATGAAACCAGAAGCCGAATGGATCATCACAGTCCTCTACGCCATCACGATGCTCGTAGCGTTTGCAGGGAATAGTTTCCTCATCTACATCGTGTGGAAGAAACCTGAAGTCAGATCACTGACAAGCTTTATGTTCGTCAACATGGCCATCGCTGATTTGCTGGTAACCTTGGTAGTGATGCCCTGGTCGATTTCCACAATATATACAGACGGTTTGTGGATGATCCCGGGAGTATTTGGAAAAGTCATGTGCAAAGGTGTTGTATACATTGCCTATGTCACTTTAACAGCATCCGTCCTCTGCCTGATGTTCATGGCGATCGACAGGTACTATGCCATCGTTCATCCCCTCCGCCGCCATCTTTGGTTTCGAAAGCCTAAACTAACCGTTCCATTTATTTGGATCGGGTCACTGGTCTCCATGTCCATTTTCCTTGTTATTCAAGCCGTGGAGGACTACAATAATTCTCCCCATTGCACGCTATCTGTTTACATCTTGGGTGATCCAGATAGGGCTCTTCAAGGAATATACCTACTCCTTTTCGTCGTCAACTATCTCATCCCCTTGGTCGTTATTTCTTTTCTGTATACCATCACTGCATGGAACTTATGGTTCCATGATGCACCTGGAGTGAATACTTTGAGAGGAAATCGAGCGCAACTAGAAACCTCCAAGAGAAGAGTGGTTCGGATGCTCATTATTGTTACCTGTGCCTTTGCCCTTTGTTGGCTCCCACCACAAGTGGTCCACATCATGTACGTCATTCACGCATCTAAGGCTTACCTACATATACAGCCGATTGTCAGCTTTGTGTGTTTTTGGTTTGGACACGCTAACAGTGCCGTTAACCCATGGCTGTACATTTTTCTGAGTACCAAGATAAATACAGCATTTACTAGGATCGTCAGTAGAAAAAGCAGCTGGTTGCCTTCAAGTCTCGCCATCAAAACATCAGATGCCGTCTTACCACCTAAAGATGAAGCAATCCAGAAAGAATCAAGAATATAATCTCTCTCATAACATGAAACGTCTATTACCAATTTGGTAACTGTAAGATAGACACTCGCTTAAAACGGGTTTGCTTATTTCTAATTATATAATATAATACAAACACCTATATACGGTTTCATAAAAGTTACTGTAGTAATCCGAGTAATTTCATGAGAAATTGATAATTGCAACTTATTTCTAAGAACCGTTCCGTGTATATGCATACCGTTTTCGTGATAATAATTTAATTTTAACTAGTTCAGATTATAACTAACTGTTTTGAAAGGAGATTTGTAAGAGCCTTCGGCTATGACATACACAATTAAAGCAAAAGAAATGCTTATGGACCAGGAATCGTCTTATTCCGTTTAGAGTGGAGCGCGATAACCACTTGGCCACACTATCTCCCTTAAGGTTGCAATATTTGTTCTTTCTTTTTCGTCTGAATTTGTTCTGGAATAATACAATCTTGAACAACTGAAAAAAAGAAAAGGGAAAATGAAGCTAATATTCAGGGGCTTGGACATCTCAGAAGAGTACAGAGAAATAGAGTTCAATTTTCACAACTATCCAGCAAATATTTTAATTTTAATAATATTGAGAAATAATAAAATTTTGTCATCGATACTAACCAATCTTTCCTCACAGTTTTCTTAAATTCTTTAGCATTCAATGATAGTTTCAGCTGAAATCCAAGTGAGAGCTCTGTGTAATGCATAGGGGCCTTAATTTTGTTTTTTAGGTTTCAAGTGTCATAGGGACAAAATGGGGACAATAGGAAAAAATGAGATTTTTAAGGGGAGCTCGGCAATCCCTCGACAAAATACCATAAGAAAATATGCACTTTATTTAAAAACGAGCAAGCAGCTGGGAACATGAAAAAATAATCTGAGACTTCGTTAAGAATTTGAACATCAGACCTTCCCATGGTGCCTCAAATTACGGAGCTGCGTTACAAGGCAGTCCAGCATACTGATAAGATCGGAAATCAGTATTTGCTTGAATATTCATCGAAAACTTTCGAGGAGATGGGGGAGACTCTGTGACCCTTCGTAGGTGGAGTGGGAGCACTCGCCTCCTCATATGTAGTTGTGGCTTGAGTTCGACTCCCCAGTGATTCTGGCGATACTTGTGGGTTGACTTGGTTACTGTTTTATTTCTCTTTCGCCATCTAAATTTTTCTCCCAATATGGATAACATCTATATAATTTTTGGATTATCCAGAAAAAATAAGAATTCCCGTGAAGAAAATAACCGCGATTGCTCTTGGAGAAGAGGTTGAAAAAAAAACAAGGAAAGTCTCAGTGAACACGACGAAACGAGTATCAAATTCCTAGAAGAGGCAATCAATTGCATACCTCTGGAAAATGAGGATGGAGCTGATTTTGAAAATGTCGCTTTCATTTTTAACCTCCAGCCGGGCAGTTTATTATTATAGCAGGAAAGGGTGACTGGGAATATTACTTTTCCGAGGATGGCAGCAACAATATAACCTGTAAATGTGTCCGCAAACCTTCGCTGATGTACCTCTGGAACAAAGGCACATTTGGGTTTTCTAGTATCACCTTGTTATTGTTTCTTGCTGAAGTAGTCATCAAGGCTTTTAGGTCTAATTAAGTGTTATCTTGGAGAGCTTAATATAGGTATGTCTCATTTAGTTGTATATTTTACAGTCCCAAACACACTGATTTGATACACAGAACGTCATTGCCTTCGTAGTTCCCGATCGCTATGTTTTGAAAGCCGCTCTCGTACATTAAATTGTTGAGTACTGATAAGAAAATACGGGGAGATTTTGGATGCGACCTCCCTTTCAAAAGGCCTCTATGGAAAAAGAGAGTGTTGTGAAGTGCTATTACGATGCAAGGTTTTTTTAAGGTTAGTATTCAAAGATTGTACCACTCCTACCCCTTACGATAGGTTCCATTGTTGTCTTTCTCCTCTGGCTGTGGAATTACTCGAACTTGAAATTTTGTTTCTAAACTGGTCATTTTGAGTACTTGATTTTTAGTTTCCTAAATGTCACTCGTAAAAGTTTTAGCTGACTATTTTATAGTCGTTGTGCGAGTCTTGTCAAGTTTAGAAGCCCGCAAGGTCTTTTTCTAATTTTAACATTAACAATAGTTTGTGCTGACTCTATTTTTGAGACTTGTTTCTCGAACAAAAACGTTCTTCGGTGGTCATGTTTGGATGTGTTTAGTGAACTTGTATAAAAAATACATTTGAACGGGTCAGAATTTTGAACAAGGGGTTAAATTCTGCAGAGACAGTCAGCGCATTACCTACATGTTCACCAATAAGGTACTTTAGAGCGTGCACTACAGTGAATAAAAGAGAAAGACAATTTGGTTAGCTATAGAAAATGTAATAAAGAAGAGGAGAACCAAGAGTCTTGGTGCCTCCTGTTATATAGAAGGTTATAGAAGGTTATAAAATGGACAGCTATCGAAGTTACTCAGACACCCAACTACGAGACTGTTGCCAAAGTCGAAATAAAAATGAAGAAAATTTTGAAGCAAAAAGGAGAGACGTAAACATCTTTTTTCATTGTTTACGACACTACATTTTATTATTCATCGCGGGAAATGTATAGAAAATCCCTGCATGCAATGATGCATGGTTCTAAAACTTTTCTTACGTAACCCTTTTACTCCCATCAGAGACCAAGACAGAATTTCTCCTTACCAAATCAATACAATATCAAACAGGCAAGTGATGAGAAAAAAAAATATCAGCCAGGGGACTATTAGTTGATCCAATACCAAATTCTAAGAGCTTACATCATAAGAGTTGTATGGCAAATAGTAAAGAGAATAACCAATGAGATTTTGGATGTGAAAGGGTTTAGGGAAACACTGAAGTACCGAGGAATCCCAAACAAAAAATTGTTTCAGTTGATTTCCTAGCCTTTGTTACCTATTCTGTTCTTTTGACTTTGTGTTTTTGATTTTATTTTGGCATAACAGAAACCCCCAAATTACTGTGATAGAGATTCAGCTTAAAAAAAAAAGCGTTCACATATTAATCAAACGATGGTGGAGTGTTAACAAGGTTAACAAGCCTCACTCCAAATCAAAGGCTTGGCAACTAAGTACACAACTGTAAAATGGCCTACTCAAAGGGAAATAGATTGTCTAGAAATCCTGAAAGACTGCGAACGTCGTGAAAATGCATAATAAAGTACCGTATTGATGAAGTAAATAACACAATTATTAGGTCATTCAATTCAGCATCCCGCTGCATGATCCTTCACGATAAAGTTTTATAGCGAAAAGTGGGGCCTTTCGCTCTGATGCCGAATCATCTCCAATACATGGGTTGCGTACTTATATATTTATGCTATACAGATACGGCACGTCTCGATGAATCAATTTCTCCCTTTAGTAATGTTTGGTCGAGTGGCGTGAAATACACGTTTTTGCATACATTTTGGTGGTTTATCAGTAACATAAACCGCCCAAACTGAGTTAGAGTATTGTCACTGTTCTCGAAATAAACCATTTTTCGTTGCAGTAAACACCAGAAAAAACCAGGTGATGATGTTTGGTACATGAAGAGTCCTTTAGGAAAGAACCATTGGGAAAATTTATTTCCAAGGCCGCCAAAAATTCGGGAAGCGTGGCAGAGTCATTAACCACTCTGTACGGATTTCGTCCATCTCACTTATCTTTTCAATGCAAGATGCAGAGACCTCAAAAAATTTTGTTGGTCTATAACATAAGTGCCAACTTTAAACACTAACCTGGTTTTTTCTACTCGATTAATGGCCCCTGCGTGCTTTGTGCTTGAGCCATAAATCCGAGCGAAAAAAACTCAGTAAGAGATATCTCGTGCTCTCCAAACTTCCCGCGTACATCCATACCTCGATTTACACACGCTAAGCATGGACCAATTCTTTATTATAACATAGCATGCGTTCTTACCCTATATAAGTCCTATTGAGCTACTATGAACAAAATCTTTACTTTCGCACGCCCGTGTGTAATTAAGATGACGTGAGCATTTTTTTTACCTGGCTTCAGAGTTTCCGTCCTGTTAAGCTGCGGTGCAGTTTTGCTTCTCTTCATTTAGTTTGGGTTTTCTAATTTCTTGTTTGCACCAGGAAAGCGTTATCCATCTACAATGGAGAATTTCGGGAAATGTTTTTCTTTAATTTTTTATGTGGAAGAGACTTTTATTATTCTTTTCTGTGATCAGCACTTGTCATGTTCTGCTTACATTTAAATACTACCCTGAATCAGGTGTAGTCTCCAGAATCACGTTTGAATCTGAACTGGGATGTCTTCTTTAATGGAACTTGGAACTATCTTAGATTGAAAATTTGAAATACTTCTTCGGGTCAGTGAAAATAACGAAATTTTCGAAAAATGGCTCTCTGCATTTGGGATTTATTTTGGTTCTGGCGCGGACTTTACCCCTGTAAATTAAATTAAAGTTAATTCATCGTCCACTATTTCAGCATGACAGCGCGTATTACAGAACCGTCTCATTATTTTGAAAACTGATAAGTCTTTTAAGAATATCCATAGTGATGGCGTAGGCATTCTGCACTCAAAAATAGCTGCATAGTAAATAGTACACATATTTTCAGTAATTTGAATAACAAAACGAGGGTACGGAAAGCTACAACGCAATCTTAGCAAAATAGGAAAAAAGATTAAAAATAAAACAATTTGGATTGACGTAAATCGAAATTGAAAATGTAAATATTTGATAGAGAGATGTCATCAAGGTGTTTTGGTCGAATTTTACACAGCGATCATCATGCTTGAATCTTCACGCATCGTGGATTCACTGGACTGCCTCTCTTTTTGAAGTAAGAAACATTTAAGAAGTGCAAGCGAAATTAAATACAGGTTTGTGAAAAGATTATGGGTGGACGACACATTTGATATTCGTAATTTTCACTTATTTATTTAGGATTGTAAGTGTGTGATAATTACAACCATCCAGTCAATGCTGCCTCATCAGCGCGTCGAAAGTGTCTTGAATCGGGAGATTGTTGTTTCATTTCTGGTTTGCTCAGCCATCATGTCACAAGAGATAAGCGTATTTCATTTATCGAGCTCAAGTAACTATCACAGTATTTTTACAACTTAAACCTCTCCGCTTTGTGCTCATTTTTGCTAGCATTTTAAACTGAACGAACAATGCAGCCACAGGGCTCCATGCCAAAATAAACTGAACCTGATTCAGTTGTAGATGGTAAGTATAGCTCCAGGCGTCGAAACAACGTCGGAATGTCCCAAAGATACACAGGATTTAATGCGAGGACATCGAGCGAAATACTGATTCGAGACACCAAAGACCAACTATAATTCCAAACGTAGTTTATTCGTACTAATTGTGACTTGATATCCAAAACCGTCAAACTAAAATACAAGTATCTAAGCGATACTAAAGGACTGAAACTAAAATAACTATTTTATGACACGAATACATATCAATTACACGAGCGCAAACACAGCTAACAATGCAACATTCGGTAACAGGAAAAGAAAACAAGGAAATCAATACAATAATACGGTCGCTTACCGATTGTCCTCTCTGTAACGCCTGAATGAGTCGCAATGAACGCAGAAACACTCGCAATAAGCTCTCTTGTCTAAACTACCGCAAACGACAACGCACGAGGTCTGACATATGATATCGAAGAATTATTGAAGTCAAATTAAAGAGACAACGATAGGAAACTATATCAATTAATTCATGAAAGAGAGCTTTTCGTGTGTTCTCTATTAAACAAGTATTTACTCCGGCACTGTCTTGACCGGCTTTAAACTACCGCGTTTTATCGAGAGACAAAATCAGCAAATCGATGTCGGATTTCCATTAAAAACAAATATGATGCAAAGAAAATCTTTTATGAATTTAGAGTTTTGGTTCTGGCGCGGACTTTACCCCTGTGGTTGCTTCGCTTCAAGCATATATTCTTCTAAAATTAAAGTTAATTCATCGTCCACTATTTCAGCATGACAGCGCGCATTGCAGAACCGTCTCATTATTTCATTGTCATGGATCTGTCAAAAATACGTGAGATCATTTGCATGCAATTAAACTTCGATAGGAGGGCTATGAGGTAAAAATAAAATTGACCTGAAGGCAACGGTTCCATAACGGAATTTTGACATTAAAGTGATCCGAAATGTGACGTGTGCTTTCCCATGATTATGCAGGCTATGAAAACACAGTGTAAGGCAACAAATTTATGTGGAATTTGTCTCCACTTTCTGTGCATTGTTACGATCAACTACCATCGAATTCTAAATGACAAGCCTTGCGTTGAAAGACGCCATTGACTCAAGGTTAAATTATGGTTTTTTTACTTAACTTAATTGCGTGTTATTTGCAAAGTGCATTATTTTTTGTCGAACTAATAGAGCCCACTGAAGGTCTGTCATTGATTCACAGCTGTTCATGATCAAGAACAAACCGACAAATTCACAAAGAAGAAAAGTGACATACTTAGAACATAATTTCGCATTTTCCCCAGATTTGCATTTTCCTATATTAAAATTGTTCATTCTACCGAAGGGTAGTTTCTCTTTGGTTCGTCACACTGTTCTTGAGACCACTTGGCTAATTACTTACTCATTAAAATGAGTTTTAAAATACGGAGCACCTGCCTTAAGATTCGCGAGGAAGTGCAAAACCTCCTTTTTGAGTAAATCTTGAATTTCCGCATGTAAAGAGGGTTTCCTTTTTTTTTGTTTGTTTTGTTTTACTCAAGTTTATGAATTAAAATCAACGAGGAGATCTAAAGCAAAAATTATTCATAGAACGGACTGTAAATGACATGTGACATATCCTAATTCGATTGTAAATGAATAATTGTCCCTATTCAATAAATTATGGGTAACATCCATAAAAAAATACTATGCCTCTATGTAACTCAACACACATCTATCATATAAGGCTCACTTTGAAGACAAATAGCTTCTAAATGGTGTTCATAAGTTTGACATCTTGACTGAGCTCTAAGTGATTTTTTTTTTTTTTTTTGCTCTTTAGAGCGGAAGACGTAAGCCAGTGTTTACGTGCCTTGGAAATCAATATGAGGCATGTTGGATTTGAGATCCATTTGAGAACTCCCACATGTAAACGTTTATGTCTGATATTCCTTTCCGGCTGTCGAGAAGAGATGCAACCGAGACCCGCATCAATATTCATATCAAGTCATTTTGAAATGGTTAAAAACAGAGGTGATCAGGAATATGCTCTTTAGTTCATCAGGGTTCATCAGTCTCGGGCCACTGAATTCTATCTCCAAAGGTATACCGTGTTTCTTATTTTAGATCAACCTGAAAAAACGCTTGGATCAGTGCGGTTGAAATGTAAATTTTACCCTTTTTTTAATCTTCCTTTAGTACTAAGAGGCTACAAGTCTATTTGCTGACAGCGGACTTCAGTGCATTCTATCGCAGGTACGTTGAGTTGCCATGAGACGTTCAACGCTTCTTAACTGACAATAATTTGGAGCAAAACAAGTTGACTTTGTAAGGCGAATATATCTGCAGATTGATTTCCTGTTTCCAAACTAATACTAATAACGTTACAGTCCATCAAAAATAGTTATATACATGCGCCAATGGTGTCTTTAATAGGATATAATACATTTTTTATCGTTTCTTTCTGATAATTTTTGTTATTGGTATTATGCGAACAAATGAAGGAACCGTGTAGGAAATTGAAAATAATAATAAAAAAAACTGTCTCTGAAAGTTATCTTTATTCATCGGGACGGAAAACGACAAATGAGAACATGACAAATTAGAAACGATTTCGTCCTCAAGGCAAACCAACGACGAAGACCAGTATTTATATATTTTAAGGATGGGAATACTTAATAATTCTATGCAGAAATGCTTAACCATGACTTCATTGCTAAGGGTGCGTTCCTTTGGGAGGATCCGGATTTAGATTTGTGATACAAGATCGCACAGTGCATGAAAGGAACGACGTTTCAGACGAGCTCTCAGAGAATTCCAAAAAGTACGCTATTTTAAGACTAAGCACGTGGGTTAGTGAGCTCTTCCCTGAAGGGTTCGTCTTATTGCACGGGCTTTTAGCACGCACTATTCATTCGAAGCACATTTTTTCATGGTAAACTGAAACGATGGAATTAAAACAGAAGCAAATATTGATTACGATATGGATACTTGGGAACCCTGAATGACTGCAATCAGTGGCCGATCGATTCAACATTACAAAATCGATTTTATTTCGAGTTTATGGCAGAATTTGTGGAGCGATTGCCAACAATCTTTCCGGTCAATATATCAAGTACCTACGTGTTTAAAATTGAGCACCGCTGGGCAAAATGATTAATGTCGGATCCTTCGCCCAAAGGAACGCGTTGGATCAGTGATGTAATGATCCGTCTTTAGATCACGCAGATCAGTGATCCAATGAATTCTTGTCCAGAGTGGATTTGATAGATCACTGATCTGAAAATGGATTTGCTCGAAAGGAGCGCACCCTAAGATTTTTTCACTAAGGTTATTTATGGAGAAAATCCAAATGTCCAGCTGCATTCATTTTCCTGTTTCTAGTATTTCTGTTCCTGTTCACAGCTTCAGTGACGTCCTGAAATATCATCGACACAACCAATATGAACTTTGTTTTAAAAAAAAATTAAATGTTTTATTTCCTTTGAATTCACAATCAATTCCTCTCACCACACCCCAGGTTGGTATCGAATAAGATTTTAGGGGGCCATGGGTGTTCCCTTTACTGATTATTTATTCAGTAATAATAGTCTTATACTATTAAACTTGAGCAACAGAAAAAACAGGAACTAAAGATGAAACCAGATGCAGAGTGGATTGTTATTACAGTCCTCTACGCCATCACGATGCTCGTAGCGTTTACAGGGAATGGTTTCCTCATTTACATCGTGTGGAAGAAACCTGAAGTCAGATCACTGACAAGCTTCATATTCGTTAACATGGCCATCGCTGATTTGCTGGTAACCCTGGTTGTGATGCCTTGGTCGATTTCCGCAATATATACAGACGGTTTGTGGATGATCCCGGGATTATTTGGAAAAGTCATGTGCAAAGGTGTTGTATACATTGCCTACGTCACTATAACAGCATCCGTCCTCTGCCTGATGTTCATGGCGATCGACAGGTACTATGCCATCGTTCATCCCCTCCGCCGCCATCTTTGGTTTCGAAAGCCTAAACTAACCGTTCCATTTATTTGGATCGGGTCACTGGTCTCCATGTCCATTTTCCTTGTTATTCAAACTGTGGAGGACTACAATAATTCTTCCTATTGCATGGTATCTGTTTACATCTTGGGTGATCCAGATAGGGCTCTTCGAGGAATATACCACCTCCTTTTCGTCGTCAACTATCTCATCCCCTTGGTCGTTATTTCTTTTCTATATACCATCACTGCATGGAATTTATGGTTCCATGTTGCACGTGGAGTGAATGCTCTGAGAGGAAATCGAGCACAACTAGAAACCTCCAAGAGAAGAGTGGTTCGGATGCTCATTATTGTTACCTGTGTCTTTGGCCTTTGTTGGCTCCCACCACAAGTGGTCCACATCATGTACGTCATTCACGCATCTAAGGCTTACCTACATATACAGCTGATTGTCAGCTTTGTGTGTTTTTGGTTTGGACACGCTAACAGTGCCGTTAACCCATGGCTGTACATTTTTCTGAGTACCAAGATAAATACGGCATTTACTAGGATCGTCAGTAGAAAAAGCAACTGGTTGCCTTCAAGTCTCGCTATCAAAACATCAGATGCCGTCTTACCACCTGAAGATGAAGCAATCCAGAAAGAATCAAGAATATAATCCCTCTCACAACATGAAACTTTTATTAGCAATTTGGTAACTGTAAAATAGAAACTCGCTTAAAACGGATTTGCGTATTACAAATTATATGATATAATACAAACACCTATATACGGTTTCATAAAAGTTACTGTAGTAATCCGAGTAATTTCATGAGAAATTGGTAATTGCAACTAATTTCGACAAAAACTGTTTTATCGGCTGGTAAGAATAAAAAAGGGAGATCCGTCGCAGAGTGAACTATAGGAAGAAGCATACTGGCAGTGAGGCAGTGTGGTGAGGGTGCTGAACTAGTGATCTGGTGGTCACGGGTGAAAGCCCTCTACCTTATTACTCGCTGGATTTGTTCTCGTTTTTCCCTAACGTCGATTCCTTGACTCAGTTTGTACACAGCCAACTGGTGTGCACTCTGCTGGTTGGGATTTTCAAAACACTATGATTATTTACAACGTCTGTTTTCCAATTTGATTGAAATGGCCATGAGAGCCCTATGGGTTATTGATAAAAAAGGAAACACTGACATGTTTCTTCAGTGCTCCAGGTAGCGTTAAGTAAGCGTATTTGCATACCGTTTTCACGATAATAATTTAACAACTATTCCAGTTTATAATTAGCTGTTTTGAAAGGAGATCTGTAACAGCCTTCGGTTATGACATACACAATTAAAGCAAAAGAAATGCTTATGGACGAAGAATCGTCTCTTTCCGTTTAGAGTGGAGCGCGCTCATCACTTGGCCACCCGATCTCCCTTAACGTTGCAATGTTTATTCTTTTTATTTCGTTTGAATTTGTTCTGAAATAATACAATCTTGAAAAAAAAAAAAAGACCAACTGAAAAGGAAAAGGGAAAATGAAGCTAATATTCAGGGGCTTGGACATCTCAGAGGAGTATAGAGAAGGAGTTCAATTTTCAGAACTATCTACCAAAATTTTTTGTGGTTGTCGTTGTCAAACGAGGTATTTCACAGTCATTACCGGCGATCTAGCTAATTAGCGAACTACCGAATTAGCGCGCGCGAAAAGCGCAATTCACCTGTCCGCTAGATACTAATTTGGTTTGTTTATTCATAATTTTCTCATCGATACTAACCAATCGTTCCTCACAGTTTTCTTTAATTCTGTAGCACACAATGATAGTTTCAGCTGAAATCCAAGTGAGAGCTCTGTGTAATGGGGCGTTAATTTTGTTTTCTAGGTTTCAAGTGTTATAGGGACAAAATGGGGACAATATGAAAAAATGAGATTTTCAAGGAGAGCTCGGCAGAATACCATAAGAAAATATGCACTTTATTTAAAAACGAGGAAGCAGCTCGGAACCTGAAAAAAATAATCTGAGACTTCGTTAAGAATTTGAACATCAGACCTTCCCATGGTGCCTTAAACTACGAAGCTGCGTTACAAGCCAGTCAGCATAGTGATAAGATCGGCAATCAATACTCCCTGAATATTCATCAGAAACTTTCGAGGGGGGAGGGGAGGAGACAGTTAGTAGGTGGAGCGGGAGCACTCGCCTCCTCACATGTAGTTGTGGCCTTAGTTCGACTCCCCAGCGATTCTAGCGATACCGTGGGCTGACTTGGTTACTGTTTTTTTTTCTTTCGCCATCCTAATTTTTCCCCCAATATTGATAACATCTATATAATATTTGGATTATCCAGAAAAAAAATGGATTCCCGTGAAGAATATAACCGCGATTGCTCTTGGAGAAGAGGTCGAAAAAAAAAAAACAAAACAAGGAACGTCTGAGTGAACAAGACGGAACAAGTATCAAATTCCTAAAAGAGGCCATCAAATTTCATTTTTAACCTTCTAAGTGGGCACTTTATTTTTATAGCAGGAAAGGGTGATTGGGAATATTATTTTTCCGAGGGTGGCGGCAACAATATAACCTGTAAATGTGTCCGCAAACCCTCGCTGATGTACCTCTGGAACAAAGGTTTTTCTAGTATCACCTTGTTATTGTTTCTTGCTGAAGTAGCCATCAAGGCTTTTAGGTCGAATTAAGTGTAATCTTGGAGAGCTAAATATAGGTTTTATGTCTCATTTAGTTGCGCATTTTAGAGCCCCAAAAGGTAGCCAAAGGTACCGGTTCAGTTAATTTCTTTGCGATGCACAGAACGCCACTGCCTTCTTAGTTCCCGATTGCTATGTTCTGAAGGCCGCTCTTGTAGACTAAGTTGTTAAATTGTAATAAGTCAATACAGGGAGACTTTGGATGCGACCTCCCTTTGAAAAGGCCTCTATGGAAAAAGAAAGTGTTGTGAAGCGCTATTACGATGCAAGGTTTTTTAAGGTAAGCATGCAAAGATTGTGCCAGTCTTACCCCCTTACAATAGGTTTCACTGTTGTCTTTCTCTTTTAGTTGTTCGATTACTCGAACATGGATTTTTGTTTCTGAACTGGTCTGGTCGTGTTGAGTACTTTATTTTGAGTTTTTTAAATTTCAATCGTAAAATTTTTAGCTAATTATTGTATAGTCATTGTGCGAGTCTTATCAAGTTCAGAAAGGTCGCCCGCAAGGTCGAACTCGTAATTTTAACATTAACAATAGTTTGTGCTGACTCTATTTTTGAGGCTTGTTTCTCGAACAAGGACGTTCGTCGGTGGTCATGTTTGGATGTGTTTAGTGAACTTGTATAAAGAATACATTTGACCGGGTCAAGATTTTGAACAAGGGGTTAAACTCTGCAAAGACAGTCAGCACATTGCCCACATGTTCACTAATAAGGTGCTTTAGAGAGAGAGAGTCAATTTGCTCAGTTATAGATCTAGAAAATGTGATAAAGAAGAAGAGAACTAAGAGTATTGGTGTCTCCTGATTGTGTGGGTCTTCTCAAAAGCTAGTTTTCCTTCTCATTGCATCTTTACAGAAGGTTATACAATGGACAACTAACGAAGTTACTCAGGCACTCAACTACGAGACCGTTGCCAAAGTCGAAGGAAAAATGAAGAAAGTTTTGAAGCAAAAAGAAGAGATTTAAACATATTTTTACAATGTTTAGGCTACTTTATATGATTATTCATTACAAGAAATCTATAGAAAATTCCTGTATGCAATGATGCATGGTTCTAATATTTCATCCTCCCCGCCCCAGGCGAGAAATTGGTTTATAGAAACTGATAGAGGGCCAATTGTCTTTGGTTGGGAATCGTCTGTGGAATTTGTGTGAGTTGATTAGCAAGCGAGTGTTATATTTTCTTGTAATGGTTATGAGGGGAAACTCCTTTCACGAAATCAGTTCATCAGGAATCAATGTAAATTAGTTGAATTTGTATTTCACAGATGATCAAGAAAATCAAGAACAGGTCTTTGGTTGGGAATCGTCTGTGGAATTTGTGTTATTTGATTAGCAAGCGAGTGTTATATTTTCTTGTAATGGTAATGAGGGGAAACTCCTTTCACGAAATCAGTTCATCAGGAATCAATGTAAATTAGTTGAATTTGTATTTCACAGATGATCAAGAAAATCAAGAACAGGTCTTTGGTTGGGAATCGTCTGTGGAATTTGTGTTATTTGATTAGCAAGCGAATGTTACAGTTGCTTTCAGTGATAATGAAGGAGAAACCCCTTTCACGAAATCAGTTCGAGACAATCATGTTTACCTTCTACAAATAGCTCCTCTTGAATTGCTCTCAGGAGGTGTGCAGACAATTTAATAATTAAACGCTCTTTGCCTTTGTTCGAATATAATTTGAGAGTACCATAAATGTATTATTTTGATTCTTAGCCCCTGTAATCCAATTTATCAGGTAGCAGCCCAGCTTGGGAATAGATATATTTGTGTCAACATTTCATCAATACCAAAATCAGATAGCAGAGCCAAGTTGAAAAGGTGCCATTATATTTCACAAGAGAGTAAAAATTATCTTGTATTTGAACAATGCCATCCACTCGAATAAAGAAAGAATCTTTCACAGTGTAGTTGAATTCACAGCAGCTGAGAACAAATTGTTTAAGTACTGTAACAGAGTGAAAAGCTTGCAGTTACTCCAAGGACATGGCGACACTCTTCCTTCATGTAAAACTGACATACATGGATGCAAAGGCTCCTTTCACCGAAACTCACTTCATGGTTTGTAGTTCTTTTAATCTGCAGTCCTTCAACAAGTTTTTGTTCAAATTGTTGAAGGAAAATTGGTCAATATAGCTGGTTCAGAGCAGGAAAAAACCCTTATGGGAATTTTCAACATTTGGAGAGAGTATTGGGATGATAGTGTTAAGGACACTCGCCAGAAGGCTCATTTTTATTTAATTGATTATTGATTAGTTTAGTTATTTCTATTATCCTAGATACAAACATGGTTACAATGTGTATCTGTTTATGTTTCTATTGTTTTTGTAATCGGACCTTTCAGTGTCATCACACGCACATAAAAGCGAGTTTAGCGTCCCTGTAATCAGTTCTGCGCAACTTTTTTATCAGTCTTAGTGAACTTTCGTCTTTTCGTTTGAAACCTTCGGCACAAGCGGGACCGATATGTGAGTATCTTTGTTACTTTGTTTTTCTAAGTTTAGTTTTCCAGCATTGGGTGAAAGTATTCAAACAGATATTTTGTTGTAGTGATGTATTTTCAAGTGATTCGAGATTTTAAAGGCCAGAATTGTCTTCAATGCACCAGCCACCATTTAGATAAGGACGATAGGCTGTTACCAGCTACCAAATTCTTGTAAATTTTTGTACTTTAACGTAGTCTGTATTGGTTTATTTGTATTGTTTATTATTATTTTAATATCGTTACCGGCGTTAAGGCCCAGCTTTTTACACTCGATTTTTTATCATGTATTTCGTAACATTTCGTTAGATTGATAGAACTTTGTTGCATTATTGTTTCAGTTTACGATCGTTGGATTGATTGATTGACTGATTGTGAGATTGATCGTGATATGTGGTTCGTGGATTGCTTGCAAGATTAAAGATTCATGTAAACGGTCAACTTTAGTCGGTTATATTTCAGTCTTGATCTACAAAATAGCCCCAAACACCTCGTTAACTGCGTCTTGGAGCGACACCACTTGAAATCTTATGAATTAGATTTTTGGTCACCGCAAGCACTACCGATAGAATCTGCATTCATCATCCAGCCAGAACCAAATTAGGATTTTATGTTAAATCAACATTTAAGTCCTGTTATTTTTTCCTCCCTCATTTTTTTTCATTTTATATTTTTTCTTAAGTTTGTTTGTGTTTTCCCTTGGCTCAATTGGCTATAAAAACCAGGTTTATAATTATATGACAGGGTAAGCAGAGGCCAAATTAATCCATTTACATTGCATGAGATAATTACATGTAAACGCTGATATTTTCAATAGCAGGTTGAATTCATATTATACTGCTGAGATGACTACAGCAGCAAAAGTGTGGGTGCAATGGACAACGTGCGGGATGTTTTTTAACTTTTCATAAGGAAGCTGCTTCATGCAGGTTAAAACAAAAATTCTTTAGTGGGAGGAGGGGGAGGGGATGCTGTAAACCTCCCCTTATTAGGCCCTTGGTTATAGGGCTATCTATCTGTGAACAAAAAATACATCTGATTATAAGCTTCCCCTCCCCCTCATCTCCCCCCTTCCCCCTTGGATATAAGGACCTCTCTAGCTTTTCTTGTTTTAGTGATAAGCAGGAAGCCACGCTGTTGTAAATTAGACATTACTATTTTAATTAAAGAAGCAAAGACAAGCTTCAAGGAAATCAAAGTCTGAACTTCCTTTTTGTTATGTTCTAGTTTTGTCTGTGTTGTTAGTTTTTTTTTGTTGTTGTTCTAAATGTATTGAAATTAGTTCGATTTATTAATGCAGTACATATTTTGATCAGTGCGGCTATAGCTTGCGCTTTTTTTGTTCTGGTTAATTTAAACTCTGTTAGACATACATTGTGTTTGTATGGCCCTCCATTTGTAAGCCCTCCTAAAACCCCTTACAAAGTTGCACAAGCACAGGTATTAAAAGCCTCAGTTTACTGTATAGTATTTTTTCAGAACAGTACGTGTCTACAGCCGTACATGTTACATTTTGTCGATTGTGTGTCAGTCTCTCGAAGTTCCTTGCATGGTTTCCAGTTACACAAAACTAGAAAAGGCAGATGTCATTGCCTTTAGAGAAATAATTATTTTGGACAAAATGTTTTTGAGACAATGCCTTCGCAGGCTTAATATTATGCGAGCTTCACTTCTCCGTGATCCTTCGAAGAACAAACGGTAAAATTTCCACATAACCTCATACTATTGTAAAACAAATCTATTTTCCCAATGGCGATGTATTGTTTTTTTCATTGTTTTCTCTATCCAAGAACTGAATGCATAATGTAGTATGGGGCTGTGCGCAAATTTTACCGAACAAAGTTTGGAACCAGTTGTAGAGACTTCAATCAAGTTAAACATCTTAGAGAAAAGACAATATATCTTTAATTATTCCTTTTAAAATTGTGGAAATTCCTGAAATGGTCATGAGCATCAAACCTTGATAACTCTCACTAAATTGGCGAAAGAGTATAGTCAGCTGTAGAAATAATTAATAAGACCTTTATCTTATATCTTACATGTAGGTCATTTTTATCTCCTAAAAGTGAACTCGGTGCTCGTAAAAAAAGTCCAAAATGGATTGAAGCTGTTGTGTCCGAGGCGGCTCGTGGAAGCGCAACATGCCATATTCCTTCGCGTGTCCATTGAAGAGAATCGTCTGGAAGCTGACTCAAATCGGCCCTTTAAACGTTCCAGTTTAGTCTTATCACATGGAGGACTGCTGAGTGCTGACCTCGCCTTTCAGTAAAGGAAGAAGCCTAAACAGGCAGCGCACCCTTAAGGTTCTGACGGCTCCGCGTGATTGGCTGGGCCTGCAGAGAAGGGAGGGAAACAGTTCCATGTCCTCTCTGGCAGACAGTAGGGGGTTAAAGAAAACCACAACTGCAACGGCAACGGGAACGTCACTAAACGGTTTAATAAGCAGAACAATAGTTTTGCACGTGCGTTACAAATTTTTGTAAATTTCTCTGCGTCCTCTGCAAACTGCAACGTGGAATCACCAAACTTTGCGTTGTTTGGAGAACGTGAGCGACGACGGCTAATTCTTTAAATTGCTATTTCTAATTTAACGCCGGGCTCCTTACTCAGTTTCGAGATAGATTTGACAGTGAAAAACAAACTAGATGACTTTAGAGTATCGCGATATTCGTAGGTAAAATAAGGTATCACTTTTTAACCGACGTTGTCGACGGCTTCGCCGTTGTCGTTTCTTAAACTCGCTATTGTTCATGTGTGGCACAAACTGCCATTTGAACTGTAAATTAGCGAACTATGGCACAGGAGGCTAGTTTGTGGTGGTTATTGTTATGGAAGAGACACGTGTAATTATGTTGCGTGAATCTGTGCGTTTTAGTCTTTCTAAGTCTCTGTCTTTCGGAATCAATCAATCAGTGTTCGTAAGCAAAGTCAGAGTAAAGTGTAAATAACATGTAGTGCAATGTCCTCAGACTTATTTCGCCTCCAATTGCTCTAATATTTCGTTATAGGTGCGCGGTGTCCGCTAACTCCCAAACGTTATCCAGTTTCTAACACCTTTTCTTGACAGGATTTCAATAAAGAAATCCATCTAAGCCATTTGGATTCAAATCACACCTTCAAATCATCTCTTGTTCTGAATGTAGTATTTACGTAAATGCTATAGAAATGCAGCCGATCGAGAACAGCTATGTATACTTTGGCGGCCGTTGCAAATACCGCGGTCAGTTGAACAGCGGCTTCTAGTTATGATTCCACGAAGTCCTCTTCGGCTCCAATTTCCCGCTGAAAACAAGATGCCTTGAGCGACGGTTCCCTACCTTCCGTTTCACAATTTTTTGGGGGAGGGAGGAGAGGGGGGGTACGGCTACACACTGGTTAGGGTTTGTTATATCGAAAACCTCGATTTAACGAATTTGCGGGAAAACAACGAAAATGTTCGTTAAATCGAGGAATGGTTAATGATTTTTTTTTTTGGTGGTGTCACGTCGGGTTACCCAGCATTTCGGAATCGGAACGATTACTGTGAATAACATTTCTGCGTTAATATCTATATGAAGCTACAGTGCGCTGTACAGGTCTGTACATAGCTACAGCACCTTGTTTTAAAAGCACGTAGGACAAATTTCAGTGGAAGTCACTGGCAAACAGAGAAACAAGGGTATTAGACAGGAAATTCCTGCCTCTTACATACTTAACTACAAGAAGCTTTATTGTACCTAATAAGAGAAAAAGAGGATAAATCGGATCTGTAGATGTGTCAGTAGTGTCAGTGTCGGCATTCGTGGGATTTATGATAATCACAAATCTCGTTGTTTTGTCATTGCGTTACTGGCTATCTTAGAATTTTCTATTACACTAACGCAAATGTACGTAGCGGCCATTAAGTAACTGCGTTACTGGCTTTATTATGGCCGGTAATAATATATACCATCCGACAAACTTAGTGGCTCCAAGAAATTCTCGTATCTGTATACGAGCGAAATTACGAATTTCGCCGTTATCTTATCGCCGTCGGCATTTGTAGGGAGCCCTTAGCTGTGACGTTGTTCTGATGTTAAAAAATTGAAGGATTTTGATTCTTGTTGGTCTGTTTTGCTTTTGTCCTTTGTCACGTGTTGACATTTGTTCATTATATCAGGGTATATTATACGTTTCGACTTCTAGATTGTATTCGTTATACAAGGATTTAGTTATATCGAGGTTCTTTCATATACATTTTACTGTAACTTTGGTCGGGCTGAAGACTATCGTTCGTTATATTGAGGAATTCGTGTCATAGAGGTTCGTTACATTAAGGTTCTACTGCGCTTTAAGTTGCATCAGGCCTCGGAGACCAGTGGAATTCTGGTTGCATGGTTCTTCTGGCTCATACTAAATTTAACTGAGTGTAATTTCCGGGGGAGAGGGATATGTCAGATGGTATGAGCACATCCTCTCACTTTTACTTTACTTCCTTTTTTTTGAAGTGAAGTTGCAATTAATTTTTTCACAAAACAACAAAATTCTCACACAATAAATTATCTTGAAGACACTTTGTTTAAATATATTGAAGTAGCTGAATTTTATCTTCCTTACATATTTACATATTTAAGTATTTACTGTGCAGGAATACCAGCTTCAGCTTTTGTTTCTTTGGTCTAGGAAATGTAATAGAATAAACCATTGAACTTTTTTTTTGCAATAGGTAAATCAACAGAAAAATAAAATAACATGCTTCGTTGACATCTTTGAAAGGTTTTTCCCAAAGATAAGATTATGATGGAAAAATTAAATCCCTTTGTTATTCAAATCCTAACTAAACATATGGAAGTAAGAGATGATTGTCTCATTTTGTTCACTACAGTTTTGAATATTTAATTCTAAGGATAGCGGCCGCCCGGTAGTATCAACGAACTTGGAGGATTAGTTAACAACAAACTGAACTGTTCAATCATCATGAAAAATGAAAAATAACAATATATCTGAGTTTAATTAAGATGATGCTGAATGGAGAAGTGCATTATATATCATAGCCGCAGTGATTATTTACTGTGGCTGCAAACTGATGACTGGGTTGGATTTTTTTTTATGTTCTTTGAAATGTTTACATGTTCAACTTTCTTATCATTCTTTTCTATGGCATCAAGTAGGTATTTGAGTTATTTAATCCTGGTCTTATAGACTTAGTTATTTTAGCCCAAATAAGTAAATTTAAAAAAGCGTTATGGATGTATAAAATACCCAAAGTGAATTTAAAATGAGACAGCCTTTACGTTTATTACTTGCACAGCTTTAAACATCTGTGTGGGCTTATTTTGTCAACTGATTTGAAAATAGAATTGTTTTTGCGTTGGGAGATTTGGCGACGTTGTCTAAGCATGCATCATGATACCTCAATAGAGGGCCGGGAGACAATCGCATGACATTTTTTAGCAGCAAACAGAAGTCCACTTTTATGATATACGGTGGTTTTTTTATATTATTATATAATATTATTATATTATTATTTATATAGTGAAATGAATAAAGGTAAAAGCGAGGCATTACAAAATAAACGGAAGAAAGTTCAAATTTACCACCAAATCTACCATTTATCGTCTCCCCCCTCCCCCCCCCCCCCCCCCCCCCCCCCCCCCCGCCCTCTAGCAAATAAAATGAGTACTATTCAGCCAAACAATTCACGGTATTTTAGCGTCCAATTTTCCCTCGGAAAGTTCTGATTAAAATTCTCAAGTCTCGGCTGCTTATGGCAGAGCTTCTCTCACTTTCTTTGTGTCTTTGTAGTATGTCCACGCGTCCTCTCATGACTGAGATGGTCCCGTTTTACATATAACACTGTGGTATTTTTGGAAAGATTCACAATTTACTAATATTTCTAATGAGATAATGGGTTAAGAAAAGCTCAGAGAGCCCTGACACCAGTCAAACTAGGAGCAAAATAACCGGCTGAGACAAAAAATTCCTTCTAAAGTTTCTCATTCCCTTTCCTTGCGTTCAGCTTTTGTATGAAATGTCCTGTTTAGCTGATCAAAAATGAGAAAGTTGGGCGAACAATAATAACTGAATCCTGCGTCAAGTTTTTCGGTACAAGAGGAAGTGCAACAAAATATGTGAGTGTTTCAGTGACATCTTCCACAACCTCCTAAACTCTTCACGCAAATTAAGAAAGAAAATTGACGATTCAATGAGCTTTTTCTTGACTCATTTAGCGGGTACTTTTAACTTATTGATCACAGTTAAGTCTTATTAAAATTTCGCGGTTACTTAATTTTGCGATTTTGGGGAGACGATATTTTGCGGGGTTTTATTCTCGCGATTTCAAAAGTCAAATATAGAAAAGGGGCATTAAATTTCAAGACTCAGACGTTCTCATTTCATTTCAACACGTCAACTTTTGACGTCAACTTTTGACGGCCGCACGAGATATATCCTAAGGAATTTGTACGAATTGAGAGAGCGATAAATTAAGTTGAAGATGAGAGCTGGATTCTCTGCACCATATGCGAAACCCTTGCAAAGTACATAGGACCAGTTAATGATTTGTGTATTTTTCAACACATATCCTTAATATTTTGTTGTTATTAAATGTTGATCACTTTTTTTGTGATTTGAATTTTTTTCAATGAGGAAATAATTTAATTGCGCGCGTTTAGATTCCGCGCGGGTTTTTATGAGCCGATCTTCAATTATAACAAATGGTGCTCGGGTGCTTATTTTCTTCAATATAGATTTAGATTAGGTAGCCTAATAACAAGTTTCAGCAAATTTACTGGGACAACAGGACTAATAAACAGGGGTTAAAATACAGACGAGCACGTGAATACACAGAGGCACAAAAGAATAATATATAACATTGTTAATATGCTTTTTCATTGTGTTATCTTTTAATTCGCTCTCGTTAAGGTTAAAACGTTTTTCGTTGTCATTAGTGTCATTTATTTCGTTCCTTTTTTTCCTCATCTACTTTATTTATTTATTTCTTTATTTATTTAATCATTATTTATACACGGTAAAAAATATTTATCAGGTACAAAAAATTCCAATACAATGACTAATGTCCTAAGAACCTAAAAATCCTTATGCTAACATCATATTAACTTACAACAATGTGCTACTTAAAAACCTGATTTCCATGAATGCCGCGTTTAAAAATTATGATAGAGAAGGCGTTTAAATTGGTTTAATAAACCAGACTCTCTAATGTTATACAGGGCAAGCTATTCCAAAGGGTTGCGCGGCTATAACCAAAAACTATTTTTCATGTTGTTAGTTCTTGGAAAGAGGACAACAAGCTTGTTTACCGAGTCTGTTTTTAATATAATATTACTGTTTCTTTAATATAATTTAAAATCAAATTAAAGGTTAGTCTTGCATGTGAACAGTGCTTAGCTTAAGACACCGAGTCTTGTAATCGATTTTCGGCTTACAAAGTTGAAGGTATAAATGTTTTGATTCACAGATTAGAATGAAATATTGGCGGGTGTTAAAACTTCCTTTCCAAAATAAGAATGAGACATTCGAAATGCTAATTATTAAACAAAGAGGAAATGACTAGAGGGGCCAGAGGCTGACTTCATTTTGTGAAAGATTTTCTCCTCTGAAAAGTAACTTACGTTATCATTTTGCCACAACTAGTGCGAACACTGTCTTTGTATTTATCTTTTTTTTCCACATCAGCTTTAAACACGTTGATAAACCTTTCTTCAGAGGCGACGTGAGATAAATATATGTCAAGCCTCCACTTTAGCAACTTACGTACAAACCCACCAGCTTGAGACATCTGTTAGGGTTTTATTGATGTATACGTGAATAAAATATTTGTTGTTTTGGTAAATGTGACTGCAGAATAAAAACACTCTTGCGGAGAAAAAAACAAACACTATTCAGGTAATTTTGTAGTTCTTTTTGTGTTATAAATTAATTTAAGTAGAGTCGTATGCTACTCTGCCGGAGAAAAATAAAAGGAAAAAAAAACACGAGGATAAGAGAACATAACGCTTTGCGTCGTTATATGAGTAATTAACTTCCTAATAAACTTTTGACGACGATGAATTTTTATTTTATTTGCCAACACAACTTTTTCACAAAGAACACTGTATGGAATATTACTAGAATTGGGATAGGTGTGACGCAATGATTAAACAGCAGTCAATTGAAATATGGCGGATGTTGCTATAAGTCTCTTGATTACAAGAAATGTTTGGAAACAGCATTAAAAATTTGAATTGAACAATGTTTATTGCAGGAGTTTTAACTAACCTGCACGTAACATTTTAAGTTAAATAAAATAGTGAAATGGTAAAAACATTCACCGTATGATATAGCCACGTACAGTGGCTGGGGAACGCTTAGTCGTTAAGGAATAAATATTGTGGTTCAATCACGAGACAAAGAAAATGAGGTCGAAGCCGATGATGATACTGAATCGCAACGTTTACAACGTATAGATATGCTGAGGTGCCGAGTAGAGGCTCACAGATAAGATAGATTTGAATTTATTTTTATTCTCATTTGCTTTTCTTTGTAGGAAAGATGTCTAACATGTGGACTTTCACTTTTGTTTTGGGTAAGTCGGTTGCGCTTGTTTAAGACGTGTAGTTTTCACGAGCGAGCATGAGACACCATTGAGTAGTTTTGGTTGTGAGAAAATTTGTGACAAAATTTTAACCCAAAGATTACTCTGATCTGCCGAGGGTAAGCTTAGATCAATTTTATCGGCAGAATGGTTAAAAATATGTAATGTTCGAGGCAAGTATTCTGTCAGCAAGTTCACGTAAAAATATGGGCAAAACTAAGGGAAATCAGTAACATTATTTATACGCAGAACAGTTGTAGGAAGGTTCAGAGAAATTCATTGGCTCTAAACACAAATCTTTTATTGTATACCTTGATAATTTCTCGTTTTCTTATAGTGTTAGTGCCTTTTAGCAGCTCCTCCATTTTGATGATTACGACTCAGTAAAGAAATGTTATTGTGCTAAGTTCGAGGAATCTATACGCTCCATAAATTAGTTATAATTAGCGTTACATATTAGGCCAAGGTTACCATCCGTATTTATGAAAATAGGTACAACCCGAAGGAACGTTTTTTTTTGGCCACCTAGGGTAATTAAAAGCGTAATTTAAGAATCCTGGTAATATTTCGAGTAAATTAAGCAATTTTACCGATCAGGATTACAGTCTGGCAGTTTAAACTATTATGCGAACGGAAGCTATCCAAGCCTAGCCACTTGCCATTCATAATAGTTCTTAACGAGAACATCGTAATTTGCGCGAAGATTATGTGTGCAATCCATGCTTACCACATAGACGACCAGGGACATTTGACTCTTGTAGCACAGCGTGACCGATCAGTTGTTAATTACTGAAGTAGGAGTTTGACATGCTCACTGATTTATTAAGAATAAATACTTCTCATTTTACAGGTTTACCAGAAGAGTACAGGGAAAATTTTCCTATGAACTTAATCTCACAGTCTATCATGAGTTTCATTATCGTTTACGCACACGATAACGGAGGCTTAAAAAAACGAGATGGACGGTCATTAATGAATTACTTGTGCAAATTATGTATAGTTATTCCTCTGTGAAATTATTTTCTTTGTCAGTTGCAATAATCGCAGAAGTATACTCCCGTGATATCCCAGACTTTGGTTCAACCCAGCGTCTTCAAGTGGAAAAAGGGCAATATATGGAAATACGATTGGGGCTATGGATACACCGTGACTCACCTGGAGCACCTTGTGCAGATGAGGAATATCTTGAGATCCGTGATGGGTATAATCAGTCTGGAAATCTTTTGGGTGTATTTTGTGGAAGATACGTTCCTCACTTTACGCTACGTTCCAGTGGACAGAACACGTGGTTAAGGTTTTCATCTAACCATAGATACCGGCTATTTTATCCCAGATATTATGAGGGAAAAGCACCAGGTGCAACAGGTAAGTATTCTTAGGTTAAAATGTTCTGATTTTCCTAATGGTATAATTTATTCTGGATGATATGTCTTCTTATGTTTGTGCTTAGTTCCCACTAACCTAAGAAACGTCGCAAAGACTCAGTTTGTCCTCCACCAATCGTCATCTTTGTGGTGCCCGGCGGAAGGTGGACCAGCTCCTCGCATTGTTTGGAGAAAGAATGGCGCTGTTGTGCAAAACAGCACTAGCGTGCGACTTCAAATCAACGTCACTGAAGAAGAAAGAAGTACAACTTACAGCTGCGAAGTGGACGACCATGGCCAGTTGAAGAGGAAAAACATCAATCTTATCGTCGAGAGTAAGTCTCAAGTTACATCTTTACTTCAAGGGGATCTCAGTTGTTGTGTGTGCTTTTAGTAAACCTTACTCTTTGTCTTGAGTCAGTTTTAGGAATTTTTGGTTTCAGAATAAAACCGTCGATAGTTTTATTCAAGGGTAACCTGAAAAGTCATATTTACGAAATAAAACAAAAAATAACTAAGCTTCTATTTTTCAATTTATTAAAAGATTAGTTTTCATGCTTTTGCTTCAATTTTAAAAACATTATTGACTCGATTGACCGCTGCTCAAAAATAAGTGCCACATAGAGCAAGGATATGGAAAAACGCTGCATCTGAAAGAGCGGCGTCCATTCAAAGCACCATAACAACGAGACAACTAGTTTACAAGAACTGCGTCTGTTTAGCAGCCACTGTTTTTTCTTTCAACAAACAACGTTGATTTTCTTGTCTAAGTCACCATCTTGTCACAAATAGATTACGCCCACCTTGCTCTAAGCAGATCAATACATTCTGATGCAATGTTTTTCTTACAAACATTTGTGAAAGAAGTCTTGAGAAGACGAAGTTGTAGCAGCCGTTTTATTAAACTTAGCAGACACAGAAGGAATAGAAATGGTCTCGAGTTTGGAATTGTACTTGAAGTCAGATATGCAATCTGTTACCATTACGAGGGGGATTGATAGACCAATTAGGAAGAACTCCCTAGTGCGGCTTTGTTACATTTAATATCTGTCAAAGAAATTTATCATACCTTGATCTTTCTTCACGATGGAAAGAATCAAACCAGGTCTCAAATAATGTATTGCACATAGCTTTCTTATTCCTTGCTTTTCATCGATTTCTGACCATTATTAATTGATATTTATAAACATTTAAAAAAAGAAAAAAAATGGAATTGTTGAATATAGATTTTTTTTGTTATCGGTTGATCACGTTGAGAAACTAATCCAAATAACATTTAAAATGGCGAACTGATTTTCCCTTTCTCACGTGACAAAGCGTGTTGAAAATAATACTGCCTGCAATCGATCCACATTTAACGATTTTTGCTGTGATGCCATCAAAAACTGTGCTGTTCAAACTATTGATTTTCTGAAGCCGGGGAATCGCAAAATCGTTCAGAATGGATAATCAATCAACTAGCTCAAACGTAGTAACCAGAAAGAGATGCAAACATCTTCTGTCAATTATCATTTAAAAGTGATTCAAGTGATTCAAATATCAATTTCTAATGGGAGCCTGTTTTTGTTTGTCAGAGTGTCCTCAACAGTGCCAATGCAAAGTCCTTAAAGGCAACATGAGGAGCTTAGTATCGGCCGATTGTGGAACGAAACAGCTTAAGTTAATTCCAAAGAAAATTCCCCGAGCCACAGGAAAACTGTAAGTAGTTAATACATTATATAATTTTAGGTAACGACATGATTTCGAGTACAATTTGGTGTTAATAAGCACCAATAAATTTTCAAAGACAACAAAATTGAAGGAGTCCCTACGGCGAGTACAATGTGTAGTCTTTGACAGATTTACATGTGTGCTTATTTACACCACACTGCACTCGAAATCATGTCGTTACCTGTTAGTCATGTTAACGATTTACATACGAAAAACTCACCACAGAGCGTCAAGAAGAACGAAATTTTGGCAGCGCGCGCTATTTAGAATTTACATGAAAATGCAATCGTTTTTAGCCAATCAGACGCACGTAATTTTTCCATGTATAAAATTAAGCCTCAAATTTGGCTTTCGTTCGAATTTGGAAGTGGCACACTGATTGCCTAAAGTACGAGAAGGTATGCTAAAGACAAAATCATTTTATGGTCGTCTGTAATTTTGTAAGAAATTTCATAAGAAATAAGAAGAATTACATTCCATAACTGTTGAACCAGATGTTTCGTTTAATAAATAGGCGTTGCCTCGTGTTGACAGATTTATTCGATGACAAGAATCGTGATTGACATTAATTCAATAGATTGATTTAAAAGCGTTAGATTATTATGTTTAAGTCAGTTTTTCAGCAGAATCGAAGTGAGAAAGAAGTTATTTTGTTATCGTTTTTCTGTCTCTAAATCCGCTTACCTGGAGAATCTGCTAACCCGTAAAGTGAGACTGTTGTAACGACCCGCCACAGAAGTAAGTTTATATTGAAGTTTTTGACTTCAGTTACAAGATAAAGACTTGATTTGCGTTTGTTCTAATTGCGAATTATAAATGTATTTCTTTTAGATCGAATAATTATTAAAGCTTGGCTTAATATTATACGGTTTGTGGTGGTCACTTGATCTAATCAGTTCCGAGTAAGGAAACATTACATTCGATTTCTGGGTTGTAACGAAGAACTACGCAATCCTGAGCACATGGCGGAGGAAGCCCTGAAAACTGCCAAAACTGATCGGAGGACTGCCAAAGGAACGCTCACACGCTGTGGAAAGTCCTTAGCGAAGTTAATAGAAGCGAAAAGACCAGAGCAAGAGGTAAGAGATGGTCTAAAGTAAACTGCAGTTAGCCTTTGAAAATCTTGTGGCGAAGCATGAAAATTATTCGCGTTTAATCGAAGATGACACTGAGTTCGAAGTGCAAGAGGGATGGATGGGGGAATGCCAAGAAGACTTTATGTCAATGGAAATGGACGCAAAAATATATTTGGATTCTTTCTTCAGTAAGGAAAAGGCCCCGATGAAAACTAATCATACATCTACAGCATCTAAAACGAAAAATAGTGGTGTTGGTGAGCCGGGAAGTAGTGGAATTCTGAATATGCAAATAGAAGAAGACGCGCTTAGTGTAAGTTCTGGCGATAATGATCATCCAATCAATCCAATTAGCACCCATCAAAGTACAAGTTCCGGTAATGATAATTTCACACCAGACCATGAAGGCACATCCGTTGTTTCCGGACATGAAGTAAACCCCAATGCTACAACCGGCGCCTGTGGTTTTAAGATGGAAAAGCCAAAGATGCCTAAATTTACCGGAGACGTAAGAGATTATGCCATTTTTCGCGCCGATTTTAAGCACGCGATAGAATCGAAATACAGCAAAAGAGATGCAATAACTTTTCTTCGCACATGTCTGCAAGATAAACCATTAGAGTTAATCAAAGGGATAGGTTCGGACTATAAGGCAGCGTGGGATTATTTGGACTCTATTTACGGAGATCCAAGGTTCGTGTCCGACACCATCACGCAAGACATAGTAAAGTTTAGAGCTCTGCAACCAGGAGAAGATGCAAGATTTTGCGACTTAGTCCATTTGGTTAAACGAAGCTTCAACACTCTGAAGGAGGTCGGAAGTCAAAATGACATGGACAACAGTCACATGCTATCTATCATTGAGCAAAAATGTGTTCGGATGATCGAAAGGTTTGGTCACGAGACTTGGAGCGTCAGGGAGAAAAAGCAACTTTAGAGCGACTGATGAAGTGGATGGACGTAGAGATGAAATCACGTATGCGTGCTACTGCTCCATTGAGATCTAGCAGATCAGTCTATGCCTTGCAAGTCGAAGCTCCCAACCAGAAGTGGTACAAATGCTGGTACTGTAAAAACTCGTCCCATTGGCCAGATACATGCCCTAAATTCGCTGCCCTCGGTATCGACCAACGTATAAAAGTCGCCAAAGAAAACCATGTGTGCTTTAGTTGCATGAAAGCAGCCGGAAGAGAACACCGAGTTGACAACTGTAGGAGACGTAGAAAGTGTACGAAAACCGAGAACGGAAGGGAATGCATGCATTTTCATCACCCGTTGCTTCACAAGAGCACCGCAGTCAAAGTTGGCGTCGCGTCAAAGTTGGCGTCGCGTCACTCTCCGAGCCACATGAAACTCTTTTGCCGGTGGTAACATGCAAGATTTACGGTCAAAATGGGTTCCAAAAGCAAAGCAACACTCTCCTTGACTCGGGAGCGCAGATCAGCCTAATCCGCGAAGAAACAGCAGCTGCACTGGGACTCAAAGGAAACGACACCGCCGTAACACTTACGAAAGTGGGAGGAGAAGAGGAGACGATCAAGACCAAAGTTTACAAAGTTCCTGTATCATCAATTGACAACACCGAGATGTTCTCAATCAAGGCAATTGGAATTCCGCGCAAGCTAGCGCGCTATTTAGAATTTACATGAAAATAATGCAATCGTTTTAGCCAATCAGACGCACGTAATTTTTCCATGTATAAAATTAAGCCTCAAATTTGGCTTTCGTTCGAATTTGGAAGTGGTTGTAAGAAATTTCATAAGAAATAAGAAGAATTACATTCCATAACTGTTGAACCAGATGCGTCGGGAGATTTCCATTCCTATCTTCATTCAAATTGTCGAAAAGAAAGAAGAGCCAACTGATTTACTTAGCATACGTAAAAATTGTTAGATTTTTATACTTCTGTAACTAATTAGAATGTAAAGAAGCCAATGAATGCATTTTCAAAACATTTGGAAATGTTGTATAGGTTAATTTTCAGTCAGATTTACGCAAGAGTTTGAGATATTGACCCAGTCTTACTTTCGATCGACAGGTTTTCTGCTGGTTTTTTTTTTTTTGACGCTCACTCGGTAAAAAACAGATGATGGTTTTACTGCTAACTGTTGATTATCCTTTTACAATTTGAGTTAAAATTGACTTTATCTTTTGTTGCAGCACGCTCTCAAACAACAAACTGAAGCACTTGCCGAAGGAAGTTTTCAGTAGAAATTCTAATCTGCTAAAACTGTAAGTCATATTGATATTGTCAACTTCTTTTGTATTCCGATGTATTGGAGAATAACTGATGGAAAATAATGTTTCATTCAGCGAGGTGCTTTGGGTGCGTTTCGCAAATCAAAATGCATGAATTTCGCAAATTAGCTAAATTAAATTCTGTAATTTCTGAGTGATGAATAAACTTTGATAAGATATCTATGTCGGACCATCAATATCAGAGTATTTATTTCTTTGCTCGGTTTGAGTATTGAATATTTTCTTTCCATGCCGCAGAAGTTCACCATTTTTACTATCCGGTATTTTAAAAACAGTCGTAACTTTAACTGTATGTGCTTCTCATTCATAACCAAGTTTGGTGACCACACCTTTTTTTTCATGTTAAATT